TCTGCATGTTCAGCTACATCATCAGCAGCCGCATTAGTTGTCCTTCTGTTGCTGGGGGCAACTGTGCTTTATCTTTCATTGAAGACAAGATATAATGAAGAGATACATCTGAAGGTCGAAATGTTTCTCAAAACATATGGCACATCAAAACCAACAAGGTATTCTTTCTCTGAAATAAAGAAGATAGCAAGACGGTTCAAAATTAAACTAGGACAAGGTGGATTTGGAAGTGTGTACAGAGGTGAGCTACCAAACGGAGTTCCTGTGGCAGTCAAGATGCTAGAAAATTCAAAAGGAGAAGGAGAAGAATTCATCAATGAGGTTTCAACTATAGGGAGGATCCACCATGCAAACATTGTTCGCCTCCTTGGCTTTTGTTCCGAAGGAACAAGGCGGGCTCTCATTTATGAATTCATGCCTAATGAGTCATTAGAGAAATATATATTCTCAGATGGTTATAATATTCTTCAAGAACTCCTAGTACCAAACAAGATGCTAGATATCGCCTTAGGCATTGCCCGAGGAATGGAATACTTGCATCAAGGGTGTAACCAGCGTATCCTCCATTTCGATATCAAGCCTCATAACATCTTGCTGGACTATAACTTCAGTCCGAAGATTTCAGACTTTGGCCTTGCAAAGCTGTGTGCAAGGGACCAAAGCATTGTTACCTTGACTGCAGCAAGAGGCACAATGGGCTATATTGCACCAGAGCTATATTCTCGGAACTTTGGAGAGATATCTTACAAGTCAGATGTTTATAGTTTTGGCATGCTGGTATTAGAAATGGTTAGCGGAAGGAGGAACTCGGACCCAAGTGTTGAGAGCCAAAACGTGGTCTACTTCCCAGAATGGATCTATGAACAGGTAAACAGTGGGCAGGATTTGGCACTTGGTAGGGAAATGACACAAGAAGAGAAAGAAACGGTCAGACAGCTAGCCATTGTGGCACTATGGTGCATTCAGTGGAACCCAAAGAACCGGCCATCAATGACAAAGGTGGTGAACATGCTAACAGGGAGGTTGCAGAATCTACAGGTGCCGCCTAAGCCGTTTTTGTCAGCTGATAGCTATCCTGTGCTGTAAGACTTGCAGAAGAAGGTACCATAATTCAGTAAAGGAATATGTGATGGATTATCATGCAACAAATACATAGCATTAGAATGCAATGTATTCTTATTGTTCCAAGACACATGAAGTATGCATTGCCACTCTTCACTGTATAAACATTAAACGAGAGAATTGGATATTTGTGGTTCAGTTGTCGTGGTTACCTTATTCTGCTGTTGCTACGATTTATCATTTATCCCACCTTGATTTATTCTGTGGTGCTCTGTATGCCCCTCTGAAGTTCTCTGGAGTCCTTGTCAAATTTATGAACCAGAATCTTGGTGGAAATTTCACAGAAGGATTGTAGTATTAACCGTGTGAGTAAGACCCATATCTGTCCCATCATGGAATTGAGCGCAGTAGTTCCAAAATTTAGATAGTACTAGAACAGAACAGAACAAATCGAATCAAATCAGAAGCGTAACCTTAGTCAATGCCTATCGAAAAGCAGCAGCGAGCATCGCGGGAAGACCGATCGAAGACCTTGACTCGCTTGCGGGGTCGTCTTTCCCAATTCCCACCACTAGTACCCTCCCTCCTCATCCCATCCAAACCTCCACCTCACCCCTGAGATCCCGCGAGATGGGTGGTGGTGGTGGTGGAAGCCGGCGACGTGGACCATGGGGACCGGGGAGGAGGAGGATAGAGGAAGATGCGGCTCGGCTCCGGCCGGTGTGGGAGACACGGTGAGCGCGCGGCGGCGGAGGAGAGTGGGAGGCGGCCCGGCGACCGGCCAGCGCAAAGGCCGGGGAAATCGCTTGTTGAGGAGGAATTCCTCCTTTACTTTGCTTAAATATATCTCAGCCATCCGTTTTCATTAATGACCTAATCTACAACTAAACTCCCTGTCAATTTCCACCATCTCTACCAAACAAGATATTGGGATTAAAAATCAAATTCCTATCTTAATCTCACCATCAATTCTCTTGCGTAAACTCCCAATCAAAGGCAATGGAATGGAAAAAGGAAGGAACGCTCAACATCTAGTACACCACCGTTCATATTAGATCCAACGGCTAATAAATCACAGTAGTACTACGGGGGTGTTTTAGTTCCTAAAAAAAGTTGGAAGTTTGAAAAAAAAAATTGAAAGCTTATGTGTGTAGGAAAGTTGAAGTTTAAAAAAAAAGTTAAAAGTTTATGTGTGTAGGAAAGTTTTGGATGTGATGTGATAGAAAGTTGTAAGGTTGGGATAGTTGAGGGTAAACTAAACCCGACCTATATCCACAACACAAACTTATTCTGCCTAGTGCCTTCGAATTTCTGCTTCAGTTCAGCATCCAACCTCTCCATCAGATGCTCAAGTAAATTCTGCTTTCCAAAATAACGAACGAATTTCAAGACTAAAGAAAGGGCATAGCACTATGACTCCGTTCTTTTCTTATTAAAAGATATACTCTGTTTTCATTACCACGTTTTTCAAACTACGAGGACTAATTAAACGGTACATTTTATGTGAAATTCTCTCTATATAAAAGTTGCATTAAAATATTAAATTAATTTATTTATATAAGTTTAAAATAATTAAAACTCAACTGTTCATACGCTAATCACCTTTTCATTTTCTGTGCAGGTTCGAACGCATATAGATAATCTGCGTAACACTTACATATCAAAACACATGAACTTCAATGTACACAGCAAACACAACCCAGAACTTGGTGTTTCACAGAATATCACTTCAAACTTAGTAGCATGTGTTTGATTTGATATTAACTCGTTTTAGCCATCCTCCACCGAGATTGCAGTCAGCTCGGAGTAGCAGTGGCACGAACCAGTTTACAGATACGTCCTCGTCGTCGCAGAACAACGTACGTCCTGCTGCTAGGCATTCTTTTGCAGGCTGTCGGCACCATCTTCAAGCATCCCCACGACCTCGCTCATTGCCGGCCGATCATGTGGCTTTGTCTGAATGCACCATAAAGCAACGACGCACAGCTTTCTCTCCAACTCATGGAGCTCTTGTCCCTTGGGTAATTTTGAGAGTGAAATTGTTGTCTAAAAGAGAAAATTCCCTATCTACTCATGAAAATTTTTTCTAGTTCACCGTTAAATTCTTATATAAAAAGTCTATTTTGCTCTTTGCTATGAAGAAACATAATAAATTAACGGATTACATTCCCTCCCGTGGTAGCTACCTCTAGGATTGGTGGCCTTCGTCTAGGGCATGCTTGCCTGAGCATCTCCGTCTCGACTTCGATTCTCTGTTCCTCTTGGTCTCCTGGCAACTGTAGAAGAAACAAAACTCTAGGGTTTTTGACTCGGCGTTATCTTCGGTCTCGGAGGTCCTTATGTCCATCCTCTCAGAGGGTCATCTTTGGTCGTTAGCTGGCACTGCTAATTTTGAGGTTTTATTGGGAGAGTAGTGGGCCCTGCCCCTTTCCCACTGTTTGGAGTCGTAGTTTCCGAGTCTTTTTTTTTCCTTTGGTCTTCTCTTTCCCTCCTCTCTTGGCATGAGTTGGTATGGCTTAATGCGTTATGTAACAATTATTCTTTTCTTCTAATATATTAACGTGCAATTCTTTTGCGCGTTCGAGAAAAAAATTAACGGATTACATTGTTAGAGTGTAGAAATTTATTTGATAAGACTATTATATTTATGAGTTTGTTATGCACCATATTATTTGTGACAAATTTACTTTTAGATATGATATAACATATTATGTCATATTATTATGCACCATATTATTAGGGGAAGTGGAATCCTGTAGTGCAGGCAATCAATCATGTATGACATGTTTATCCCATGTGTATCGGTAGATGGGTATCGGTTTAACACAAAAAAAAAAAAGAAAAGAATGGAGCAAGTGAATTACCTTCATCGATGCCTGACAGAGTGAGCAGAAGGCCACCACAGGAGACCTCGCCGGGCGTTGTTGTATGACAATCCGGCACCAGGAAATTAAGATTTAGAACTTGAATCCGGCGGGGCACCGTCGCATCCAGTGAATCCCATCGAGGGGCACGAGGGCGTCGGCGAGCATGGTGGTGCGCGCTGACGGCGGAGCGCGAAGCACGGAGACAGCGGCAACCCGCGCCATGGCGGAGTTGCTTAATTTCAGAGTGCAATGTCTTGGACTTGGCTGTTCTGTTCGCCTCCTACCCATGGATTTCTCTCCTAAACCGCGTGTGAATAAGTAATAGAAGAGCATCAAAACGCAAAGTCTTTAAGAAGATTATTATTCATAACTAGTTAGATACCCCGCGCGCTGCTGCAGGATAGCTATATCGTGAATTTGACCAAATTTCATTGGACCATTGGCATTTCCTCCTTAGATGATTGAGGAAGCGTGTTCAAGCATAAATATTCCAAGAAAATCCATTGGATCAATCGATATATGGCTGGTAGAAGCATTAGAAAAAATAAAAGAAATGAGAAAGAGGTAGACACAAATGTAGTGGTGTAGGCTTTATTTGGGAGATGTATTGATTAGTGATAAAAGGACATATAATGATGCGTGAGGTAATTAAGAGGAAGACAAAAGGCATTGGTCCTCTCAGGTGCCATCAGTTGAGAAGAACTTTATCTAATGGTTGATTTGCATAGACGCAAGATGATCTAATAGTCAATATAATCTTGATGATGTGGCCTCACAGAATTTGAGCTTTATAGCATCAATGATTTGTAGTGGGCAGGGGCGGAGCTAGAGCGAAACAGAGGGTGGTGCCACTTGTTTAATTTACTCTACTTTAGATCGAGTTTAATCTGATACGGGTGTCTAAGTTTATATTGAGGGGGTGCATACATGGTGAAAATAGACAAGGTATAGCTAAATTTTTTTTTTGACCGGGTTCCTGGGCATCCCCCTAATATATACAATCTCTGCCCCCTGGTAGTGGATACCAACTATATAGGAAAAAAGGATTCTGTCTCGTGCAGATTAAGCATATACTCTTAAATATTACAAGCTCTCACTTTATATGCTTATATGTATCACAGAATACATAAGACTACATAGGTCTCAGCATACTGAAATTGACATCAAACAGGAGTACAAAGTAAATACAATCATCATAATTAGCTTTAGCATTTCGAAATGTACTTGCTACTAAGTTACTGGTAGCTTTCGAACAGACATATGCTATCATCATCGTCATCCTCATGCTCCTCGGAGATTGCAGTTAGATCAGATGGCATATTGTAAGACTCCACTCCAGGCAATTGCTCATCATCACAGAAGAATGGCCTTGGAGGAACTTGCAGTTCATCGGTACCACCTTCAAGCATCTCTATCACCTCGCTCATCGTCGGTCGATCACATGACCTCATCTGAATGCACCACAATCCAACAATGCAAAGCTTCTTCTCTAGTTCATGCATATCAGCAATGTCAGAGATCTCGCTTGTTTCTCGCCGAGTCAGCTCCCTGTACACCCGTGATGGATAATAAGCTTGACTTGAGTTTGCTGCATTTGGATCTGCATTCCTTCTTCCTCCAGCCATCTCCAATAGTAGCATTCCGAAGCTATAAACATCGGATTTGCTTGATATGACACCGAAGCTCCGAGAGATCATCTCGGGAGCTATGTAGCCCACGGTTCCTCGTGCAGCGCTCACAGGGACGAAGCTCTTATCCCTTGGGTATAGCTTCGCAAGACCGAAATCAGCAACCTTTGGGACAAAGTTATCGTCAAGAAGGATGTTGTGAGGTTTAATGTCAAAGTGCAGAATCTGCATCTCGCAGCCCTGATGCAGGTAGTTGATCCCTCTTGCAATGCCCAAAGCGATCTCATTCAGCTTATCCCAGGAGAAACTCTTCTCTGACGAGAAGATGTACTTGTCAAGAGAGCCTCGAGGCATGTACTCGTACACAAGTGCCCTCCTCATTTCTTCAGAGCAAAACCCGACCAGACGCACCACATTGACATGGTGAATCCTTCCAATGGTTGAGACCTCACTGATGAACTCATCTCCGTTGCAGCTGGAGCTACCAGTCAGCATCTTGACAGCGATATGGACATTACCCGGGAGCAGTACACCTTTATATACAGAGCCATAGCCTCCCTGGCCTAGCTTGTCTCGAAAATGGGATGTGATTGCAATAATGTCTGTGTAGGCAAACCTCGTCGGACCAATCATCTGCTGCATTCGAAGGAACTTCTCTACTGCGTCGATCGTGATCCTTGTTTTCCAGTACTTGTGGGCAAGGAAGATGAATACCACCAGTGACCCCAACACTAACCTGAATAAAACTTCTCAAACAAACCAACATGCATGTATATAAGTTAGAATATATATGTTCAGACGCGCATAATATCACGGATGGGATGATTAAAAGCAAGTAATTCGTACGTACCGAAATGAAATTTGATGATATCAATAGCCGATACTATGGTTCCCAAAAAAATCCTATCTTTTTGGGGGGCAACTTCATATCCGCAGTCTACTTCGGAGTTTGTTTCGCTCCAGAAAATAGCACGGGTTAAATTCAGAATGCTTGGATGAGATATACGCTCCTTGAAGTACCTGCAAATCACACCGTTGTACAAGACGGGGTAATAAGTGAGAAGGGAACACGTCTTTTTTATATAGACAGAATCATGAGGAAAAAAAACCTGTTTGAATCCTTCAGGCATTCCCTGGCGCTCATACGAGGACTCTGGTACTGGTCAGGACGATATGGAAACCGAACACTAAATCCTTTCCTTATGAATCCTATGATATCTGTGTAACTTGCATTCTGTAGCTGTGAGGAGTTGTCCGATATATGCCGACTCTCAAAGGGAATCATGGCCAAATATCGACAGGAAGGTTGAAGCTCTCCAACGGCACAGTTAACAAACGAGACAAAAACAAATGAATTGTTGGGAAGCAGACATGTAACGGGCTTGTACCATGGCATAATATCTGTTATTGCTCGGGAACAATTCACAAAGCATGCCCAAGTGCCTGAAGCAGTGGCCAAATCGAAAAAACCATAAGAATCAGCTGGACGATAGTCACGATACCAATCCGGGAAAGGGAGGTGATCGGAGCGAGGAAGAGGGCAGCTGCTGTTTGTATCATCATCCTGCAAGGTAGCATCCACAACCGAGAAGACCTCACCAGTATAGTTGATGCTACTCACGTAGTACGTCCCTGTGTTGATCTGAATGGCAGCCCTGCCGCTGCTACAGGAGAGGTTGTACCATGGACGAGGAGTAGCAACGCAATCGCGCGAATCGCCTTGAAGACGGAAAGGGTAGGATATGTTGCCAAGATGGCCACAGGAGGAAGGAGGACAGTACTGGGGGTTTGGCCCTGCTCCAACAACTACTGCTGCAACAACCGCAAGCAAAGAAGAGACAAGTAGAGATTTCGCCATGGCTGCAGCTGAAACGAGAAATGACCGCTACAATTTGGAAGTTATTTGCCTTGCCGAGTACTACATCAGTCTCATTTTAAGTGCAGCCGTTGGTTTCTGTGTCCAACATTTGATCGTCTATTTTATTTAAAAAGTTTATAAAAAATTAGTCACATATAAAATATTATTCATGTTTTATCATATAATAACAATAAAAAATATTAATCATAAAAAAATTTCAAATAAGACGAACGGTCAAACATTGAATATGAACAATGTAAAACTGCACTCTTTTTAGTACTATTAATTTGGTGGGGTTGGGTGGGTGCTGTAATATGGGGAGATACTGACTACACTACCTCCGGTTCAAAATATATAAAAAAATTAGACTCTAGGTATTAAGAAAGTATGTCAAATTAAATGAGAAGATGTTATGATTGCTTGAAAGGAAAAAGGCAGAGGAAAAATTTAAACTGTGGAAGATTATGATTAATTGAAAAGATAATGTACGTGCAAAAGTTGTTATATTTTAGAATAGATTTCAAATACTAGAAGTTCTTATATTTTGGAAAAAAAAAACTAGTATTAATTTTTGGGACTTTTGTGGAAGACCCAATTTCCACACCTGTCAATTTCCTCCGTGAATTACACGGTACAGTACCTATATGTGTGTGGACTATAGGTAACGGTCAATCGTGATCCAACGAAGTACGTAGAAGACGGCAGGATGGATGGACCAGACAGGCAGCTTCCGGTTTGGTATAACGGTGGCCCATCTTTTTTGAACTCGAGCAACGTTGCCCTGCCTGCTTTCTTCTTGGATCGTCTCCATCTCGTCTGTCACAGACACAATGCACACAGAAAATAGGATGAGAGGATTTCTTGCAGCAGCCCTCCTGGTGTTTGGCATTCTTCTCAACCTGGACACAGCAGCGTCAGCGTGGGAAGACAAGGATTTCTTCAGCTACTGCCCGCCGTCGCGGTGCAGCGAGCATGGCCCCGAGGTCAGGTTCCCTTTCCAACTCGAATCCAACAATACTACACAATCCTCATGCGGCTTACCATTCATGAAGCTATCATGCTCTGGCCAAGATACCATCCTTGATAACAAATGCCTTGGAAGGCCATACAAGGTGACTGCCATAGATTACAAGCATCCTGTCCTGACAGCCGTCCCGCTCGCAGACGAAGGCAACTCATCGTCTCCTTGCCCGCTTCTGAAATCCATATCTATCAGGCCAAGCTTAAAAGCAGACAATGGTTATCACTATATGATGTACCAGAAACCTAGCGAAACATACGTTGAACACTATTATGCAGCACTAGTAAGCTGTTCGACAGAGTTTGCACCAGCTAGTATCCCTGATGCCACCGATGATATTGTTGGCCCCATCTCTTGCCTTAGCAACCAAACCCACCTCTCCTATCTGGTGGAAGTTCATGCATCTATGTCTCTTCTTACATTGGACTGCGAGGTCATCTCAGATGGCCCCATTCCGATACCAGTTTTTCATTACTCCATTTATGACTTGCCCACGTTCAGAGGAAGTGCAGAAAGAATCCTCAATTTCTCTGATACCACGGTCTGGTGGTATCGCTACGATTGCCCACAGTGTGAACAACTGGGAGGACGCTGCGCATTCAGCTCGCAAAGGAATCAAACATTCTGCATGCGTCGAGGTATTATCTCTAAACCCCTATACAACCGGCAGTACCATCCCCGTTTATCTTCTGTCCAGTAAGTTTTATAATTTACATCCCCACACAAATCCATGCATGGTAATACTATCCGATCGTCAAAATCCAGCAAAACAAAGGCAATTATGCCCGAAGTATAAGAAATCAATATTTACAAGCAAATGAGCATCACTTGTATCATCCAATCACCTTATAAACTGAAAGCAGGAAATGAACATAACCTTGATATGCTAGCAAATGCATGTCTGCACCTGGATAAAATTTCTCGACAAACAGAGTTATTTGGTTAGAGCTGTAGCATCCTGATTGCTTCTAGCAGCAGTTCAAAGGAGACAAGTAGTTCTCAGATGCGATGGAACTTGAGGGTAGTATAAATATGATACAACGAGAGCTGCAGTTAGTTGCTGCTTGGTTGCTTTGATGGGTGTCAAGGTTAACATAGATCTGAGATGTGATAATAGATAACATTGTCAACCTTTATCCACATTATCCAACCCTAACAATTCTTAATCTGCCATACCTCTTGCTTAGACACCATAGTTAGCACATGCCAATTTGCTTCTCATGATACCAGGCTATCAGCTGAACAAAACGTAGGGATCATTTCTAGTTTAGAAATAAATTCATAGATAATCCAAGCTTAGCTGGTCCCACACAATCTAAAACTTAAGCACATACCCATGTCAGATTTCAACTTTTCTTTGTCAAGTCAATTTCTCCTTTTATTAATAAGACTATCGATCAAGTCTAAATTCTCTTGTTTGGTATTTGCAGGTTCACATGTCAAAGTAATTGCAGGTACTGGTTCAATAATTCAAACCTTCTTTCATTCAAATGAAAATAAAAGAAAAAGAAACAAAGTTACCTGTTGCATACTTTAAGTCTTATTTTTAGGTAATCTGATCTTATATTCTCTTATCCCCATTAAAATCCCTAAGTGGTGGCTTTCTAATTTCTATTCGTAATAAATGTGTTGATAGTCTGTTCGTTCTTCTGTTTTTATGGAAAGATGGTCTTCCCAGAATATTCCACTAAACATCTGCTGTTCTGAGCTAAGACTTATAAATAAAAGTTGGGCTACAAGCCTTCTTTCTAGAAACAACACAATGCCCTGATTTTTATTCTCTGCATAATCAGCTACATCATCGGTTGCCGCATTTGTTGTTCTTTTGTTGATGGTGGCCACTGCACTCTATCTTTCTCTGAAGACAAGATATAACGAAGAGATACATCTGAAGGTAGAAATGTTTCTCAAAACATATGGCACATCGAAACCCACGAGGTACACTTTCTCCGAAGTAAAGAAGATAGCAAGACGGTTCAAGGTTAAAGTAGGACAAGGAGGATTTGGAAGTGTGTACAGAGGTGAGCTACCAAATGGAGTCCCTGTGGCGGTTAAGATGCTAGAAAATTCCGAAGGGGAGGGAGATGAATTCATCAATGAGGTTGCAACTATAGGGAGAATCCACCATGCAAACATTGTCCGCCTCCTTGGCTTTTGCTCAGAAGGAACAAGGCGGGCTCTCATTTACGAATACATGCCTAATGATTCGCTGGAGAAATATGTATTTTCACATGATTCTGATACTTCTCAAGAAGTCCTAGTACCAAGCAAGATGCTAGATATTGCTATAGGCATTGCCCGAGGAATGGAGTACCTGCATCAAGGATGTAACCAGCGTATCCTCCACTTTGACATCAAGCCTAACAACATCTTGCTGGACTATAACTTCAGTCCGAAGATTTCAGACTTTGGCCTTGCAAAGCTGTGTGCGAGGGACCAAAGCATTGTTACCTTGACTGCAGCAAGAGGCACAATGGGCTATATTGCACCAGAGCTATATTCTCGGAACTTTGGAGAGATATCTTACAAGTCAGATGTTTATAGTTTTGGCATGCTGGTGTTAGAAATGGTTAGCGGGAGGAGGAACTCAGACCCAAGTGTTGAAAGCCAAAACGTGGTCTACTTCCCAGAATGGATCTATGAACAGGTTAACAGTGGGCAGGATTTGGCACTTGGTAGGGAAATGACACAGGAAGAGAAAGAAACGGTCAGACAGCTAGCCATTGTAGCGTTATGGTGCATTCAGTGGAACCCAAAGAACCGGCCATCAATGACAAAGGTGGTGAACATGCTAACAGGGAGGTTGCAGAATCTACAGGTGCCGCCTAAGCCGTTTTTGTCAACTGATAGCTATCCTGTGCTGTAAGACTTGCAGAAGATGGTACCATAATTCAGTAAAGGAATATGTGATGGATTATCATGCAACAAATACATAGCATTAGAATGCAATGTATTCTTATTGTTCCAAGCCACATGAAGTATGCATTGCCACTCTTCACTGTATAAACATTAAACGAGAGAATTCGATATTTGTGGTTCAGTTGTCGTGGTTACCTTATTCTGCTGTTGCTACGATTTAGTATCATTTATCCCACCATGATTCATTATTCTGTGATGCTCTGTATGCCCCTCTGAAGTTCTCTGGAGTCCTTGTCAAATTTATGAACCAGAATCTTGGTGGAAATTTCACAGAAGGATTGTAGTACTAACCGTGTGAGTAAGACCTGTTAGGCTTTGCACTAGGATCACCTAGGTTAGATCTAGTCGGGTGGTTCTATTTGGGTTTGATGAACGACATTGTAGATGAAAGGGAGAGGGTTTAGATACCGACCGGTTGAGGAGTTCGTGGAGGAAGAGGCGCCGGACATCGTCGTTGTCGTCGCGGCTTGACGTGGATGCGGCGCCGGTGAGGTCGACGGCGATGACGGCTGCGGCAGTGGTGGTCGTAGACGTCCCGGCGATGAGGCGTGGCGCGGCGGTGGCGTTTCCCGTCACTGGCTGCGCCCCCTCTCGATCGGATTAGGGTTTTGTGGGGTGGAGTTGGCGGCGGCGGTGAACTTCGTACCCTGTGCCGTGCCGGCCTCCACCCCTCTTTTATATGGCGCAGTGTGACGGGGGCCCACCAGCCATTGGGCTGGGCGCCCCCGATCAGGGCGCGGTCAAGGCCCCCTTGAGCCGTTGGGCTCAAGGGGAGGGAGATCTATCTAACAAGACCCATATCTGTCCCATCATGGAATTGAGCGCAGTAGTTCCAAAATTTAGATAGTACTAGAACAGAACAGAACAAATCAAATCAAATCAGAAGCGTAACCTTAGTCAATGCCTATCGAAAAGCAGCAGCGAGCATCGCGGGAAGACCGATCGAAGACCTTGACTCGCTTGCGGGGTCGTCTTTCCCAATTCCCACCACTAGTACCCTCCCTCCTCATCCCATCCAAACCTCCACCTCACCCCTGAGATCCCGCGAGATGGGTGGTGGTGGTGGTGGAAGCCGGCGACGTGGACCATGGGGACCGGGGAGGAGGAGGATAGAGGAAGATGCGGCTCGGCTACGGCCGGTGTGGGAGACACGGTGAGCGCGCGGCGGCGGAGGAGAGTGGGAGGCGGCCCGGCGACCGGCCAGCGCAAAGGCCGGGGAAATCGCTTGTTGAGGAGGAATTCCTCCTTTACTTTCCTAAACATATCTCAGCCATCCGGTTTCATTAATGACCTACTCTCCAACTAAACTCCCTGTCAATTTCCACCACCTCTACCAAACAAGATATTGGGATTAAAAATCAAATTCCTATCTTAATCTCACCATCAATTCTCTCAATTCCCTTGTGTAAACTCCCAATCAAGGCAATGGAATGAAAAAAGGAAGGAACACTCAACATCTAGTACACCACCGTTCATATTAGATCCAACGGCTAGTAAATCACAGTAGTTCTACGGGTGTGTTTTAGTTCCTGAAAAAAGTTGGAAGTTTGAAAAAAAAGTTAAAAGTTTATGTGCATAGGAAAGTTGAAGTTTGAAAAAAAAAGTTAAAAATTTACGTGTGTAGGAAAGTTTTGGATGTGATGTGATGGAAAGTTGTAAGTTTGGGATAGTTAAGGGTAAACTAAACCCGACCTATATCCACAACACAAAACTTATTCTGCCTAGTGCCTTCGAATTTCTGCTTCAGTTCAGCATCCAACCTCTCCATCAGATGCTCAAGTAAATTCTGCTTTCCAAAATAACGAACGAATTTCAAGACTAAAGAAAGGGCATAGCACTATGACTCCGTTCTTTTCTTATTAAAAGATATACTCTGTTTTCATTTCCACGTTTTTCAAACTACGAGGACTAATTAAACGGTATATTTTATGTGAAATTCTCTCTATATAAAAGTTGCATTAAAATATTAAATTAATTTATTTATATAAGTTTAAAATAATTAAAACTCAACTGTTCATACGCTAATCACCTTTTCATTTTCTGTGCAGGTTCGAACGCATATAGATAATCTGCGTAACACTTACATATCAAAAACACATGAACTTCAATGTACACAGCAAACACAACCCAGAACTTGGTGTTTCACAGAATATCACTTCAAACTTAGTAGCATGTGTTTGATTTTATATTAACTCGTTTTAGCCATCCTCCACCGAGATTGCAGTCAGCTCGGAGTAGCAGTGGCACGAACCAGTTTACAGATACGTCCTCGTCGTCGCAGAACAACGTACGTCCTGCTGCTAGGCATTCTTTTGCAGGCTGTCGGCACCATCTTCAAGCATCCCCACGACCTCGCTCATTGCCGGCCGATCATGTGGCTTTGTCTGAATGCACCATAAAGCAACGACGCACAGCTTTCTCTCCAACTCATGGAGCTCTTGTCCCTTGGGTAATTTTGAGAGTGAAATTGTTGTCTAAAGAGAAAATTCCCTATCTACTCATGAAAATTTTTCCTATTCACCGTTAAATTCTAATATAAAAAGTCTATTTTGCCCTTTGCTATGAAGAAACATAATAAATTAATAGATTACATTCCCTCCCGTGGTAGCTACCTCCAGGATTGGTGGCCTTCGTCTAGGGCATGCTTGCCTGAGCATCTCCGTCTCGACTTCGATTCTCTGTTCCTCTTGGTCTCCTGGCAACTGTAGAAGAAACGAAACTCCAGGGTTTTTGACTCGGCGTTATCTTCGGACTCGGAGGTCCTTATGTCCATCCTCTCAGAGGGCTATCTTTGGTCGTTAGCTGGCATTGCTAATTTTGGGGTTTTATTGGGAGAGTAGTGGGCCCTGCCCCTTTTCCACTATTTGGAGTCGTAGTTTCCGAGTCTTTTTTTTCCTTTGGTCTTCTCTTTCCCTCTCTCTTGGCATGAGTTGGTCTGGCTTAATGCGTTATGTAACAATTATTCTTTTCTTCTAATATATTAACGTGCAATTCTTTTGCGCGTTCGAGAAAAAAATTAACGGATTACATTGTTGGAGTGTAGAAATTTATTTGATAAGACTATTATATTTATGAGTTTGTTATGCACCATATTATTTGTGACAAATTTACTTTTAGATATGATATAAAAAGTTAATACTTATTTATTAGTTATTAAAAGTTTTTTGCAACAAAAGTTTTTTAGATATGATATAACATATTATGTCATATTATTTATGCACCATATTATTAGGGGAAGTGGAATCCTGTAGTGCAGGCAATCAATCAGGTATGACATGTTTTTCCCATCTGCTACTACAAGAAGCCTAAGTTGTGTATCGGTAGATGGGTATCGGTTTAACCCAAAAAAAAAAAAGAATGGAGGAAGTGAATTACCTTCATCGATGCCTGACAAAGAGTGAGAAGCAGGCCACCACAGGAGACCTCGCCGGGCGTTGTTGTATGACAATCCGGCACCAGGAAATTAAGATTTATAACTTGAATCCGGCGGGGCACCGTCGCATCCAGTGAATCCCATCGAGGGGCACGAGGGCGTCGGCGAGCATGGTGGTGCACGCTGACGGCGGAGCGCCACCGCCGCCGGCCGGGAAGAGGGTAGGGATTGTTCCGTACTAGTGAGCGCTCGGTCCAGTCCAATAGTGGTTGAGAGGCCGAAGCCCACCAAAGCATCCAGTAGAGTTGGGCCCTCGCGGAAGCATTCTGGCCCACACAATTTTGCAACTCGTCACAATCTCGCAAATGCGCTCGGCTCCGTCGCCATCCCCGTCTGCGACGGCGAAATCCCGGCGACCTCATGGCATTGGTCTCGAGAGGCACCAAGCACAGCGGCAACGCGCGCCAAGGCGGAGTTGCTTAATTTCCTCGTGGACAGCGCCGCCGCTGCCCGGGAAGCAGAGTGCAATGTCTTGGACTAGGCTGTTCTGTTCGCCTCCTACCCTTGAATTTCTCTCCTAAATCGCGTGTGAATAAGGGGGAATTTGGATACAAGAGCATGAAAACACAAAGAATTAAAGAAGATTATTCATAATACTGTCTTGTGGAGATTAAGCATACACTCCTAAATATTACAAGCTCTCACTTTATTATATGTGCTACAAACTTACAATAAACATAAAAACTATATCGATCTCAGCATATTTGAACTTTAGACAGCAAAACGGGCATACAAATTAAGTAAAAACAATCATCATAAATGTACTTGCTACTAAGTTACTGGTAGCTTTCGAACAGACATATGCTTTCGTCGTCGTCGTCCTCATGCTCCTCGGAGATTGCAGTTAGATCAGATGGCATATTGTAAGACTCCACTCCAGGGAATTGCTCATCATCACAGAAGAATGGCCTTGGAGGAACCTGCAGTTCATCACTGCCACCTTCAAGCATCTCTATCACCTCGCTCATCGTCGGTCGATCACATGACCTCATCTGAATGCACCACAATCCAACAATGCAAAGCTTCTTCTCTAGTTCATGCATATCAGCAATGTCAGAGATCTCGCTTGTTTCTCGCCGAGTCAGCTCCCTGTACACCCGTGATGGATAATAAGCTTGACTTGAGTTTGCTGCATTTGGATCTGCATTCCTTCTTCCTCCAGCCATCTCCAATAGTAGCATTCCGAAGCTATAAACATCGGATTTGCTTGATATGACACCGAAGCTCCGAGAGATCATCTCGGGAGCTATGTAGCCCACGGTTCCTCGTGCAGCGCTCACAGGGACGAAGCTCTTATCCCTTGGGTATAGCTTCGCAAGACCGAAATCAGCAACCTTTGGGACAAAGTTATCGTCAAGAAGGATGTTGTGAGGTTTAATGTCAAAGTGCAGAATCTGCATCTCGCAGCCCTGATGCAGGTAGTTGATCCCTCTTGCAATGCCCAAAGCGATCTCATTCAGCTTATCCCAGGAGAAACTCTTCTCTGACGAGAAGATGTACTTGTCAAGAGAGCCTCGAGGCATGTACTCGTACACAAGTGCCCTCCTCATTTCTTCAGAGCAAAACCCGACCAGACGCACCACATTGACATGGTGAATCCTTCCAATGGTTGAGACCTCACTGATGAACTCATCTCCGTTGCAGCTGGAGCTACCAGTCAGCATCTTGACAGCGATATGGACATTACCCGGGAGCAGTACACCTTTATATACAGAGCCATAGCCTCCCTGGCCTAGCTTGTCTCGAAAATGGGATGTGATTGCAATAATGTCTGTGTAGGCAAACCTCGTCGGACCAATCATCTGCTGCATTCGAAGGAACTTCTCTACTGCGTCGATCGTGATCCTTGTTTTCCAGTACTTGTGGGCAAGGAAGATGAATACCACCAGTGACCCCAACACTAACCTGAATAAAACTTCTCAAACAAACCAACATGCATGTATATAAGTTAGAATATATATGTTCAGACGCGCATAATATCACGGATGGGATGATTAAAAGCAAGTAATTCGTACGTACCGAAATGAAATTTGATGATATCAATAGCCGATACTATGGTTCCCAAAAAAATCCTATCTTTTTGGGGGGCAACTTCATATCCGCAGTCTACTTCGGAGTTTGTTTCGCTCCAGAAAATAGCACGGGTTAAATTCAGAATGCTTGGATGAGATATACGCTCCTTGAAGTACCTGCAAATCACACCGTTGTACAAGACGGGGTAATAAGTGAGAAGGGAACACGTCTTTTTTATATAGACAGAATCATGAGGAAAAAAAACCTGTTTGAATCCTTCAGGCATTCCCTGGCGCTCATACGAGGACTCTGGTACTGGTCAGGACGATATGGAAACCGAACACTAAATCCTTTCCTTATGAATCCTATGATATCTGTGTAACTTGCATTCTGTAGCTGTGAGGAGTTGTCCGGTAGATTCCATCTGTCAACGGGAATCATGGCCAAATATCGACAGGAAGGTTGAAGCTCTCCAACGGCACAGTCATCAAACGAGACAAAAACAAATGAATTGTTGGGAAGTAGACATGTAACTGGCCTGTACCAGGGCATAGTATCTGTTCTTGCTCGGGAACAATTCACAAAGCATGCCCAAGTGTCTGAAGCAGTGGCCAAATAGACAAAACCATAAGAATCGGTTGAACTTTCCCCCAAATACGGAGGCCAGTAATCGATGTAAGGAAGGTGATCAGAGCGAGGAAGAGGGCAGCTGGTGCCGTTTGTATCATCATCCTGCAAGGTGGCATCCACAACCGAGAAGATCTCACCAGTATAGTTGATGCTGGTGACATAGTACGTCCGTGTGTTGATCTGAATGGTAGCCCTGCCACTGCTACATGAGAGGTTGTACCATGGGCGAAGAGTACCAACGCACGGGCGTGAATCGCTTGCAAGACGGAAAGGGTAGGATATGTTGCCAAGATCACCACAGGAGGAAGGAAAACACTGCTGGTTTGGCCCTGCTCCAACAACATCTGCTGCAACAACCGCAAGCAAAGAAGAGACAAGCAGAGATTTCTGCAAGAAGTAGAACTTTCTACGAGTGGCAGAAGCACGAGATGCATTGGATTTCGCCATGGCTCCCAGTCTGGCAGGATTTGCCTTGCCGAGTAGTATAATTTGGTGGGGGTTGGGGTGGGTGCTTTCACTGGGGAGATTTTTTCCGGAAGACTGAAGAGGAACAGTATTGCTCCGTACTGTCATAAATTTTGATAATTTGATCCTTTGTAAAACTATTTTTATAAATAAACCGTCGTCAAAACTTATTTCAAAACTGACTCTTTTGTTCAGCGTCAAATTGTGTGGCGCTGAATTTAGATACCTCAGCGTCAAATAGCATGACGCTGAATGTACATTGGCACGCTGACTTAGCCTCCCATCCGCGGTGACACAGCATTTAGCGTCAGTTGACGTGGTGCGGAAGTATCTAAATTCAGCGCCATATGATTTAGCGCTGAAAAAAAGATTATATTTTTAAATAAGTTTTGGTGACGAATTATTTGTAAAATTAGTTTTTTCAAATGGTCAAATTGTCCAAATTTGTACCGTACTATAGTAGTAGTAGTTGGAGACTTTTTCCGGAAGCACCCCAATTTCCACAGTCGCGATCCAATCAAGTAAATGCTGCAATTTCTCGTTGACTAGACTTCACATGCAGCTTTCCGGTGCTACTGTATAGTACTACTACTGTAGTACACGGATTGGAACAGTAGTTGTCTATCTTTTTAACTCGACGCAATTGCCCTGCCTGCTTTCTTCCTGGATCGTCTCCATGCTCTGTCTGTTTGCCACAGACACAGTGCATACAGACAATAGGATGGGAGGATTTCTTGCAGCAGCCATCGTGGTGTTCAGCCTTCGTCTCAACCTGGACACAACAGCGTCAGCGTGGGAAGACAAAGATTTCTTCAAATCTTTCCAACTTGAATCCAACAATACTACACCATCCTCATGCGGCTTACCATGCATGAAGCTATCATGCTCTGGCCAAGACACCATCCTACTAGATACTAACAAATACTACCTTGGAAGGCCATACAAGGTGACCGCCATAGATTACAAGCAAGGTCTCCTGACCGTCATCCCGCTCGCAGACGAAGAAAACTCCTCATCGTCTCCCTGCCCGCTTCTAAAATCTATCAGGCCAAGCGTAATAACAGGCAATCCTTATTACGATATAGGGTTCGAGAACCCTTGCAGACTATACGATGCACCCTATTATGCAGCACTAGTAAGCTGTTCAACAGAATTTGCATTAGCCAGTGTCCCTGGCCCTGCTACCGATAACGATTGTATTGCTGGCCCCATCTCTTGCCTTAGCAACCAAACCCACTTCTCCTATCTGGTGGCTGTTTATGTTACTATGTCTTTTCTTCCGTTGGATTGTGAGGTCATCTCAGATGGCCTCATTCCGATACCACGTTTTTATTACTCCGATTATTCCTCATCCACGTTCAGAAAAAGTGCAGAAAGAATCCTCAATTTCTCTGATACCACGATCTGGTGGTTTAACGACGATTGCTCACACCCAGCACAGTGTGAAGAACAGGGAGGACGCTGCGCATTCAGCTCGCAAAGGAATCAAACATTCTGCATGCGTCCAGGTATTCTCTCTAAACCCCTATACAACAGGCAGTACCATCCCCGTTTATCTTCTGTCCAGTAAGTTTTACAATTTACATCCCCACACATATCCATGCATGGTAGTAATATCCGATCGTCAAAATCCAGCAAAACAATTGCAATTATGCCCGATGTATAAGAAATCAATTTTTACCAGCCAATGAGCATCATTTGTATCATCCAATCATCTTATAAACTGAAAGCAGGAAATGAACATAACCTTGATATGCTAGCAAATGCATGTCTGCACCTGGATAAAATTTCTCAAGAAACAGAGCTTATTTGGTCACAGCTGTAGCATCCTGATTGCTTCTAGCAGCAGACAAGTAGTTCTCAGATGGGATGAAACTTGAGGGTATACAAGTATGATACAACGAGAGCTACAGTTAGTTGCTGCTTGGTTACTTTGATGGGTGTCAAGGTTAACATAGATCTGAGATGTGATAATAGATAATATTGTCACCCTTTATCCACATTATCCAACCCTAACAATTCTCAATCTGCCATACCTCTTGCTTAGTCACCATAGTTAGCACATGCCAATTTGCTTCTCATGATGTCAGGCTATCAGCTGAACAAAATGTAGGGATCATTTCTAGTTTAGAAATAAATTCATAGATAATCAAAGCTTAGCTGGTCCAACACAATCTAAAACTTATGCGCATACCCGTGTCAGATTTCACCTTTTCTTTGTCAAGTCAATTTCTCCTTTTACTAATGAGACTATCGATCAAGTCTAAATTATTATGTTTGGCATTTGCAGGTTCACATGCCAAAGTAATTGCAGGTACTGGTTCAATAATCCAAACCTTCTTTTATTCAAATGAAAATAAAAGAAAAAGAAACAAAGTTACCTATTGCATACTTCAAGTCTTATTTTTAGCTAATCTGATCTTATACTATCTTATCCCCATTAAAATCCCTAAGTGGTGGCTTTCTAATTTCTATTCGTAATAAATGTGTTGATAGTCCGTTCGTTCTTCTGTTTCTATGGAAAGATGATCTTCCCAGCATATTCCACTAAACACCTGCTGTTCTGAGCTAGGACTTAGTATAAATAAAAGTTGGGTTATGAGCTTTCTTTCTAGAAACAACACAATGCCCTAATTATTATTCTCTGCATAATCAGCTACATCATCGGTTGCCGCATTTGTTGTTCTTTTGTTGATGGTTGCCACTGCACTCTATCTTTCTCTGAAGACAAAATATAACGAAGAGATACATCTGAAGGTAGAAATGTTTCTCAAAACCTATGGCACATCTAAACCCACGAGGTACACTTTCTCCGAAGTAAAGAAGATATCAAGACGGTTCAAGGTTAAAGTAGGACAAGGTGGATTTGGAAGTGTGTACAGAGGTGAGCTACCAAACGGAGTCCCTGTGGCGGTTAAGATGCTAGAAAACTCTGAAGGGGAGGGAGATGAATTCATCAATGAGGTTGCAACTATTGGGAGGATCCACCATGCAAACATTGTCCGCCTCCTTGGCTTTTGCTCAGAAGGAACAAGGCGGGCTCTCATTTACGAATACATGCCTAATGATTCGCTGGAGAAATATATTTTTTCACAAGATTCTGATACTTCTCAAGAACTCCTAGTACCAAGCAAGATGCTAGATATTGCTTTAGGCATTGCCCGAGGAATGGAGTACCTGCATCAAGGATGTAACCAGCGTATCCTCCACTTTGATATCAAGCCTAACAACATCTTGCTGGACTATAACTTCAGCCCGAAGATTTCAGACTTTGGCCTTGCAAAGCTGTGTGCAAGGGACCAAAGCATCATTACCTTGACTGCAGCAAGAGGCACGATGGGCTATATTGCACCAGAGCTATACTCTCGGAACTTTGGAGAGATATCTTACAAGTCAGATGTTTATAGTTTCGGCATGCTGGTGTTAGAAATGGTTAGCGGAAGGAGGAACTCAGACCCAAGTGTTGAAAGTCAAAATGTGGTCTATTTCCCAGAATGGATCTATGAGCAGGTTACCATTGGGCAGGATTTAGAACTTGGTAGGGAAATGACTGAAGAAGAGAAAGCAATAATGAGACAGCTGGCCATTGTGGCACTGTGGTGCATTCAGTGGAACCCAAAGAACCGGCCATCAATGACAAAGGTGGTGAACATGCTAACAGGGAGGTTGCAGAATCTACAGGTGCCACCTAAGCCGTTTTTCTCAGCTGATAGCCATCCTGTGCTGCAAGACTCAGGACATGCTGGCATAATATAGCAAAGGAATTTTAGAAGGAAAAACTTAAATACACTTGTTTCAATAAATTCCTAGCATTAGGATGCAATATACTCTTATTACTCCAAACCACCTAAGTATGCATGACACTCTTCACTGTGTAACAGATCCAATGAGAAAATTGGAAATTAGTGGTTTAATTGCCACTGTTACCTTAATTATGCTGCTGCTGGTAACCTGGTGTTGCGATTTATCCCCACCATCATTTTTTCCGCAGTGCTCTGTATGCGCATCTGAAGTCCTCAATACAAGCCATATCCTTATCCAATTCATGAATCACAATCTGTTTATAGTTCTGTCCTCAATACCCATCTGGTTACAACAAATGCCTAGCATTAGCATGCAATGTATTATTGTTATTCCAACCCACATGAACTATGCATTGCCGCTCTTCACTGTATAAACATTCAATGAGTAAATTGGATAGTTTCAGTTGCTAGTTACCTTAATCTGTTGTTGCTGCGATTTATCCCCACCATGATTTATCCTGTGGTGCTCTGTGTGCCCCTCTGAAGTTCTCTGAAGTCCTTGTCCAATTTATGAACCAGAATCTGGTGGAAATGTCACAGGAGGATCATTATGCAGCGCAATTAACCGCGATGTAGAATAGATTAACTGTGCGAGTATAAGACTCATCATGGATTTGAGCGCAGTAACTCCAAGATTCAAATAGAAAAAGAACAAATCGTAGAAAAGTTACCTTTGTTAATTCCAACTAGGAGTCTTAGATGGTCGAAACCAGAGACCAAAACCATCGCCGGCGGCAGGGAGGGAGACGGGCGCGCCGATCTGGCATTACCAATGTTCCTCTTTCTAGAGTCCGATATGGAGAGGAGATAGGATGCCAACTGAGAATAGGTTTAGAGACAGGGAGGGAGCTGGCTCGCGTGGCGGAGGAGAGATCAGAGAGGGGAGGCTCCGGCGACCGACCGGCCGGCGGCCAGCGCCGAGCGGCGTGGAATGGAAACTGGAGCTGCCTGGAGAGAGTGGACAGTGGAAGGATAGTGTTAGGGAGAAATCTAGTGCGTTCATATTAGATCCAACGGCAACTGGCGGCCTCGCATGGTCACACCAACAAAGCATGGACATGAACAAGAAATCTATTTCTTTTCTTTTCTTGAGAGAACCAATGGAACTCCTAAGTATTCCCTTTCTATCGCTCCTAAGTACTCCTATAAGTGATTACAGGTAACTGAAGTTTATATGCAGATGATTTGCCATCTAGCACAGAAACAATAACAGAAGACAACAACATTGAGCCGATTAAGGAGGAGCTACAGTATAAAACAAAACAAGGAACTTGGTCATGTTCCAGCCATGTACTTACTGTAATCTGTAATCTGTATATGCTGTACTGCCTGTGTTGTTACGTATGTAACCAGAATGAGAAGAGCACCGCCAAATCACACTGCCCATCACCATCAGGAGGCCATCATTCACGCCTCACCACATCCCATGGGACATGCACTGGTAACCGAGAGGCACCTGGAGCTGAACCGGCGTGCTTGTGAGGCTGCCATCATTGGAGCCAAACGATTGAGAGCTCATCGGTGGACTTCCAACCGGATGCAGCGTCGACAATGGTGTGCTGCTCCCAGCATAATTCACTGGAGGACAACCGCAGACTCGCCTATCAAAAGCTGGCAGATCCCATTGGTACACCTTGCCACCCAGAGGTGTTGATATCTGGCGCCACTGGTTGTAGCTGCCTGTGCTCGCGTGGGTGGCATAACTCCTCTCACTGAAGAACCCTGGTATATCATGCCTGCAATGCCAGCACTGTCCTACTCCTTGACGTTGCCGAACAGGTTGATATTGGTCTAGATCCATTGAGAACACTCCATTTGGGAACCATCCAACTCCTTGACGTTGTTGGACATGTTGATGCTGGTCCATATCCATTGAGAACGCTCTATTTGCATAAAATCCCCCATGGTTGAGGATTCCGCCGGTATAATGCTGCTGGCCTGGATGATATGGATTCCAGAAATTTGTCTGAACACTTGGCAGGGTTGGACACTGTTGTGCCTGCATCCACTGTTGCTGAGTATTTGCATGTACATGTGGCGGCCCATTATGGAAGGTGCAATCTATATTGTTGCTTCCATTAATCACCATAGTTCTTGCAATGGGGTATTGTGGATATCCTCCAGTTAGATAACCTAGCTGAGGGGCGTCTTCGTATTGCTGAAAAGGGTTGGACTAAACAAGTAAAGCAACAGAAAGGAAACGCCTCGTACGCTTCAATATACAGTGTGCAGACAGGTAATGTTATTGATAGAGTTATAGGTATTCCTGTACCTCTCTAATATCATTGCAAAGTGTGTAGCCATCCCTTCTCATCTGCATAAACAACATAAAACTCAGAAATTGAGCTCGAACGTTATTATAGTATGGAGAGCAAAGCATTGATGATTATCATAAATTTAGTTGATGATTTTTCTACAGATTCTCAGGAAAAAAAATGTATACATTTTGGCAAGCACACTTTATGGACAAGCAAGTAATAAGATTTAAATATGCCAGATAGTTTCTCATTGCCAAAGAAGCAACAAACATTAATATATTTGCCTCTATGAATAATAATACAACGACTACCTTGGAAAAGACAAACTTACCAGCAAAATGAATTGATCCACAAGCTTGTTTGCATGGTGCTGCAAAGCATATCATGCGTGAGAATGAAATCAAAAGGTATTATTCCTGGTTTCTGAAACTCAATTGAAGAGTACTCACAGAAGTAGGAAGAGTAGAAATGTATACATGTTCATCCCCATAGATCGTTTCCACCGCTACTTGATGATCATCCGGTGCTTCGGATTCAAGGAGACGAAGTGTGTAATGGCATTCATCAACAACACCTGCCACGAGACAATGTTTAGGAAAAGAAAAGGATTACTAGCAAAACAAGATTATGCAAGCATAAGTAAGAACAAGCGCACCTCTACATAAATACTGTACAGGGTGAAAACTAAGCCTTCTAATCTTCCGAGTATTCATAGTTCTCCCAGTTGGATAGTTTGACATGATTTCATTCTGGGTATATGCAATGTCTGCAGTATTCTCAGACAGAAAGAATTTGGATGGTGGCAATGGCCATGATCTTTCTGAACCATCAAGTTTAGCAGCCCTTTCATTCAGTCCATGCCTAAGGAAAAACAAATGGTGAAACTGATAAGTTGTACAAAGAATTACCATCATAGTTGGCACATAACAACCCACTAACTTGAAATGAAACCTAAAAATAAAGAAGTTATGCAGAGCAATACCTCTTTGAAGTCAGGATGACCTCAGATAGAATCTTTTCAATATCAGGTTCAATGGTATATGAAGGGTCTCCAATACATGACTCAATATCTGGAGAAATACCCAGTTCACTGCTAATGCCATCAGTAACATCTGGTTCTCCTGGACTTACATTCTCACAAGGTGTATTGCTCTGTGTATCAGCTTTTTTCTGCTTTTTCTCATTTGAATCGATCTCCTGATACAAATAAGTATAAACTCCTAAGACCTTCCTCTTTGAAGAAGGTTGGGGCTCTGTAACAACCTTAGGAGGTTTACTGGGAGCCTTTCTGGAACTTGCACTGCATGAGATTACAGAGGGCGTTGTTCTGTCTTTGAGCTCTTCTACACAATAATTGTCTGGACCAACAGTTGAGGGCAGATTTCTGTCTTTTAACCTTACTGTTGAATAATTAACCTCTTTGGGGATTTTTTCAACACATGAATTATTTGTCTCTGAGGAAGGATGTGAACAGTCCGCTGTGAACGCTGACAAGGACTTTTGTTGCTGTACTCTCATGTCCTTGCTGCCTGTTGTCTGATCTAAATTAACCTTTACAGGCCGTTGGTTTGGAGATACCAAATTAAGCCCTTTGTTGTTTGAAGACCTTATTGACTTCTGAAAGTGGCATTTGGTACTTTCAGAGCTCAACAATGAATGTTTGTTTGAAGGCCTGCAGCTTTGGCAGTCATGTATTTCACGTGGAAGATTTGAATGCTCCTTTCTGTTCTGTAGTTGAACTGTCTCCTTTTGTGGTTGTTCGTTTTCATGATCAACCTGCAAAATTGCTATCTGCGCCTGCTTACTCTGAAGCAAAAGGTCAGGAGCAGGAGTACAGGATGCACTTTGTTTAATGTTACACGAGACAGAGCTATTCATAAGGGTAGAAGAGTATTGAATAGCAGTATCAGGATCAGATCCTGCAGCTGATTGGGCCTTCTTAATTTGGAGAGCGAGTGGACAGTCCATAGATAAGCCGTTCAATATTCCACGTGGCAAGCCTTCTGGAGCTTCATTTTCAATGCATACAACTGCTCCTTCACAGGTGATGAATTCCTTGGGTTTGCAATTTTCAGGAGGATCGGCAGAAGTATTGTCAATAGATGTAGCTTTAATTTTCTGCCTCCCTTTATTTAGACCTAAATCAATCTGTTTTGCAAACGATTTGGTAAAAAATACAAGGTAGATTGTAGTACTTTCAAACTGGACAAAAGTTTTTACTGGAATCCAGAAACAGAAAGGCTAATCAGGGGTACCTTCTTAACAGAATTCTGAAGTCTTTCAAGGCATGGTGTAGGGTCCAAATTAAGTCTGGGTTGCAGGGCACGGAGGATGGTGGACTCGGCAATCTGAAATTCATATGATTAGAGAAAATTAAAGTAGGTGATATGTTGAAATAGTTGATGATATATCACAATGTAAATCACAGGATTAAAGATGGGCTAACCAATTGATCGTGATAAGTCCATGAAGCATTAACAACAGAAGCTAGATCTTTCACAACACGTTCAGTGCCCAATCTAAGAGAAACTCTATTCACTATTGGGAAGTCATCTCCTGAAGAATCGCCAGCATTAGACAGAAAGGGCCGGTAGTCCCGCACCTAGTATTTTACATTGTACAAAGAAGATACCTGAGCAGAAATACAACATATGTTAAAGTTGCAAAATTAGAGTATGACTTTAGCTAACCTCACACACAATAGTTCCATTTCTAAATTTGCAAGGCATGTCGCCCAAGATGACTTGAGGCAAGCAGCCATGCTCAATATCCTGTAACAATACATTGGACAATTACGAAATCTGCAGTGACGATGCAAGAGATTGTAATGATGAAATAATTTTGTTAAGGAGATTAGAATCTTGTGGTTCAAATAGAATTGCAATAGAGCTACTTGGTTCCCAAAAATCACCAGCAAAGAAATGAAATGCATGATGATTCTATACTTAATTGGCAGAGCCCATGACTTCAGTTTTTTTTTCAAAAAAAAGGGCATGTGGTTCTAAGAAATGTATACATAACTACCGGTTCTCTCTGATCACATCATCAAAAGATGGCCACATGTGCAAAATTGTACGATAAATTACATAATAAGAATTCCAGACGAAAATTACATAATAAGAATCACACTTACAGAAAACAAAGCTCGAGATGCCTTGCTGTACGGCCTCTTCTGAGGATCATCACCAATCAGAAACAGAAGCATTCCCTTTGCAGAAACCAACAGACGCTGTTACGATCAACAGGTTACAGATAGATAATTTCTATTCAAATGTAAGCCGTACCTTGCCTGGGTCACTAATTGAGTATCCATCCGGAAACAGGTTCAGTGCAAAAGACGGCTCAAGATCTGCACCACAAGAGTGTTTGTGAAAATGCTCCGACAATAATCAACAGAAAAAAAATCGTGCAATTAGATCAGATCCTCACCTAAATCATCAGAACCAACTCCGTCTCTATCATATACATCCGATCGTGCAGCGGCGCCGGGCTACACGAATCAAAACGAAACCGACAGTAACGCACGCTTGCACACACCCAACCCAATCCACACGATCGCGATTGCTCTTTTCTTCAAGTAAACAACGATGGAGAGGAACAGATAGCCGAGGGCACTCACATCCCAGGGCAGAGGCGGCGGCAGGGGCGAGCCTTCGGGTGGCGCTGCCGCGCGATCGGCGGCGGTTGCTGCGGCCGCAGGAGGCGGAGGCGGCGGCGGAGGGTAGAAGCGGCGGCCGCGACGGGACACCCTGAAGGAGACGACCATCGCGCCGCCGCCCGCGCCGCCGACGGCCGCCGCGTGGAGGAGAGGTAGGGTTTTGCGGGTGGGTTTGGTTGGGGTTTTGGTTTAGAGAGAGAGAGAGAAGAGGAGAGATGGCGCGAGCGCGAAGAGGCGAGAGGGGGAAGACGATGGGGAGGTTTTGCTACGTGCACACGGTTCGTGAGGTGCTTGCACGTGGGGCCCAGCGACAGTGAGAGTACGCGGGGGACACGCAGCAAAGGTGAGGTGGGGCCCACGTGATGGGACTACCTGTCAGACGAGGTGGGCCCACTGCTCGGCTCGCTCGTGGGCTCGATGATCCATTATTAGACTTTAAGGCCCAATAGTTCATGAGAGGTAAGCCCATGGAGGAGAACTCGCCGCCTCGCCGCGGCGGCGGCCGACGGCTGCCGCCTCCGTCTCCCTCAACGGCGGCGGCGGCGCCGGATACTCCCTCTCGGGGCTCCGGCCAACTGCTGCCTCCTCCTCCGCGTCTCCGACTCCATCAACGCCGGCGCCGGAGACTCAACCCTTTCCCTCCGAGCTCCGGCGAACTGCCGCCGATACCTGCGTCCTCCGCCTCGGTGAGTACAGAGGCCCATGACAATCAGTATAGTTCATTACTTGAGATCTGAATCAGTGTATAAGGTGGTTAATTCATATATGAACAAACTTCTCCAACAGTTGGACTTGTTCGGCATTGTTTGTCTTCGTGTTTAATGAGTTAATTAGCTGTAACCCCTGACATAGTACTATTACTATATCTTCCTCCGTTCCATATTATAAGTCATTTTTAGTTTTTGATAAGTCAAACTTTTTAAGTTTCTGGAATAATATAACAACATCTATAACATCAATTTAGTTCGATTAGATCTAACATTTGAAAGTATGTGTGTTTTGTGTTAGAAATACTGTTATGTTTTTTTCTATATACTTGATCAAACTTTAAAAAGTTTGAAGAAAAAAGTTAAAAAATATATATTTATATGGAAGGAGTATATTATAAGCATAGGCTTCTTGTATGCTCCAATTTTTAGCTGCAATATGCATAGGGATCCATGGATGAACTTGTTTAAACTAGTCTTTTTTTTAAGATAAAGAAAGACCTCATTTTTGTGTGTGCTTAGGTCAATTAGTTTTAGCAGACTCTTAAATCTCTCATCATTACCATGCATGTCCCCATCAATTCTTTTTAAACCAACAAATAAAGTTAGACTCTGACTGGTACTTTCAGGCATCAGACATGCATGCATCAGTACATCCCAGATTCCCAGTCAGGTTGCAAACAGTGGATACAGTACAATAAAACCCACATGAGAAGAACAATGTGTGCTTAAATGCAATTACAAGGATAGACCACCAAATCAGGCGCATGTGATCGTCATCAAATCATGTGTACCGCACCAGAATCATACGCTGATCACCATTAAATCTCCATGGGGTCCCTGCTATCACTAAGACACTAACTAGGCTTTGATTCTGAACATAGATATGAAGCTAAAAGTAGTTTGGTCTGAGGAGTATGTACATTCTGTGCTGTGAGGTGTTCATTCAGTCAGGTCCACACACCATGTGCTGCAGCACCCCAACCTATGGAGTAGGATGGTCAAGAAAGATGGCCTGCACTGGATGCACCACCTCAGCAACCATGACTCCTTAATTAATCAAAATCATGTACCTAAACCTGATGCAAACGCAATGCAATTATGCAGAAAGAGTAGAGGAAAAAGGAGAGGAGAGGGTGGGTTTTGTCGTAGTGTAGGTGATCGACAACAGGTTTGTCATGTCGCCGTCCACACGTGTGTTTGCTTGCCTGTTCATGGTGTGCGTCCAGGATGTACATATGCCAGATGATTCATCAAGTTCTCGTTGATGCATTGCTAATAGGAGTTTAATTTCATCTCATTGAAGTTTTGCTGGATTTGAGAATTAGAGTTGAATGTCAGGTGCCGGATGATGTTTTTTGTTCTTCTGAGTAATGGAAGAAGCAGAGAGCCCTGGTTCAGTTTAATGGAGTCCTACTGAAGCTTAAGTTCAGAATTATAGGAGTGGATGGAAATGTTGTGTATGCTTTTTTGTGACATTTGAAGAGGTATGTTTTTTCTTTCCTTAGGATCAAAAATTATTTATTCAGGATTGCTGAATTATGGTTGAAAATGTGGATGCCAAGGTTGTGAGTTAAACCTGATTTTTTACATTTGTGTGCTGAAATAGTGTCTTGTCTGCCATCAGATAGCCTGAATTTTTTTTGGCAACCAAATCCCAACCTGGCTCATTTAGTTCTGATTTCTGAATCCAGCATATATACTTGCATTTCCCATTTTCTAAAAATAATCATGAACACGAGCCATTTTTTTGCTGTCCATCTCATCAATCAAACAGGTCGTGATCAAGATAGCTTGAGAGAATCACAATATGGTGAGCAAAAATAAACTAAAAAAGAAATAACGAGAAAGATGTAAGAAGCATCGCATTTAAGTCGACATGGATGGAACAGGGATACAAGGGAGCCCTCCTCACTGATTGCATGTTTGAAACTCAGGACACTCCAGCCCAGCAGGCTTACCTGTCAGGAGCCCACTACCCATATATATATCAAACATATGCATATTTCCAAATTATTCCCCCATACCATACAGTAATCCAAATCCACCAAGAAGATCAAGTCAAATTGCCCACACATATGTCATAACGACAGAGGGAAGAAATTAAAAGGGAAAGGACATGATCAGCATTCAACATATAGGAAACTAGGATGTTCTTCTGATGTTGCCTTAACTGCATAGCCTGCTTATATGATGGGTGTAACTTTTGGTTTTTATGCTTCCTGTAGGTCACAGTTAAGTCTGTTCCAATGAATCAATGATATGTATGATAAAAATGAGTTCTGAACAGTTCCTGAAAATTTTTTGCTGCAGTATCTCTATTACAATGACGTGTGCATGCATACAGCAAAAAATACATGTGGTACTAATTAACACTTGTTCTGTTGTTGCTAATATGGCACAAATATGATGTAATAAAGCACTACACCATGTGCTGCAATTAGGCAATTGTACTGAAACTACTATTAGCGCATTGCATTCATGCAATTGAGAGGTCTCTATAGTCTATAGTCTATAGGAACCATATCCCTTCATGAACTTCAGGAGTAACAAAACCCTCTATATATACGCACACGCCCTGCACTCCTCTCAAAAACACAAGCAACAGCTTAGCTAGTAACAGTAGGCCACTACTAGCATCACTGCATTTCTAGTTAAGTAACAACACTAGAGAGAGTAAGGAGTAGTGAGACCATGGGGAGGGATCAGGCAGCTGCAGCAGTGATGCATGAGAAGGTGAAGCTGTTCATAGGAGTGCTGGCCCTGCAGTTCCTGCTTGCAGGATTCCACATTGTGAGCAGGGCAGCACTCAACATGGGCATCAGCAAGATTGTGTTCATCGTCTATAGGAACCTCATCTCCCTCGCCTTGCTCGCGCCCTTCGCCTACTTCCTCGAGAAGTGCGTAAATAAACCCCTTCTTTTTTTACATAAAAATTAATCAGTTGTTTCATTTTTCTCAAAAGTATATATAAGCTGTTGTTGATTGTACATTTTTTTCATGTATGATCTCTATCAGGAAAGATAGACCACCACTGACCTTCTCTTTGCTGGTGGAGTTTTTTCTTCTAGCACTGTGTGGGTAAGTAGATTGATTTCTTTTACCATCTTCTCTGCTCTATATATATCCATATTTACTCGGACTGAAGTTTCTGAATCTCTGTACCATTGTTCAGGATAACTGCAAACCAAGGTTTCTACCTCCTAGGGCTGTATCACCTTTCACCAACTTATGCTTCTGCAATACAGAACACAGTTCCTGCCATCACCTTTGCCATGGCTGCCGTCCTCAGGTATATATCACTTAATTTATACACCGAAGAAATATAAGATCAGTGTAAAGATATATATTAGTAACATACATGCATGTAGTTTTGAGTTTTCACTGCAGATTAAACTGTACGTGTGTTGTGTGCATGCAGGCTTGAGCAAGTAGACCTAGGCAAGAGGCATGGGGTGGCCAAGGTGGTGGGCACGGTGGTGAGCATAGGTGGTGCCACAGTGATAACTCTCTACAAGGGCCTACCACTGTTCAATCACAATCTGAACATCAAGTCCCTGTCTTCCTCGAGCCTCATCCTCAACTGGACTCTGGGCTGCGTCTTCATCCTTGGCCACTGCCTCTCATGGTCTGGATGGATGGTTCTTCAGGTAGATGGCTAGTCTCTCATGCATGCGCATTGGATCGATGGCTATGATTTGCTGAATGTCTGAACTAACTTTTCATGGTGTATTTGAATCTTGTTTGTTTTGTCGTTAGGTGCCAGTTCTGAAGAGGTACCCAGCTAGGCTGTCAGTTCTATCACTGACCTGCATCTTTGGGCTCCTCCAGTTCCTGGTCATTGCAGCCTTCACTGAAGAAGACCTGAGCAGATGGAAGGTGAACTCCGGAAGCGAGCTGTTCACAATCCTCTACGCTGTAAGTGCATAGCTGCAACATACCGTCTTCGAGATCTATATATGAAAAATCATGAGAAATTAATAGAATGACGTTTCTTTTTGGTGCTTGCTAGGGTCTTGTGGCATCTGGCGTGGCGTTTGCTCTGCAGATATGGTGCATCGACAGGGGAGGGCCGCTGTTCACCGCCGTGTTCCAGCCGGTCCAGACCGTCGCCGTCGCCGTCATGGCCGCCATCATTCTCGGAGATCAGCTATACTCAGGAGGGTAAGATGATTACACACAAAGTTCAGTAAAAAAAAGTGCATTCCTTTAATTCTCTGAATTTATCTCATCGATTGATCGCTGGACTGTAAAAATTATCATTGGCAGGATCATCGGAGCAGTTCTGATTGTGATCGGGCTGTACTTCGTGCTGTGGGGCAAAAGCGAGGAGAAGAAGAGCAAGAACAACAACCTGCAGGACCAGCCGGTGCAGGGAGGAGGAGACGACATCAGGAGGCATCTGCTCGGACAAGAAGATGCATCTCGCAAAGACGAAGAAGCTGCAGTCACTGATGAACTGGCATGACGATCGATCGAAGGGGCGTTCTTCACCAGTAATATGCATGATGATGTTGGAGTTGGAAAATATGTTGATGTCAGTGACTGTACTTTCTTAACTATATTAATCAAAGAAGAAGATCCAAGCGTGCCAGTGTAATTAAAAACAGTACTGCTAGCTGGTCCTCACTCACCAGTGATATACTATATATAATTGCTACGAATCAGTCTGTGTATATCTCAAGCTGTATATTCAGAGTTAATGATATAATATTGCCATCACTTGAACAATTAGCACATAAACTTGTCCATGTTTGTCCACCGTAAATATTATCAACAGTAAGAGTAACAACCGTTGATATACAAATTCTACTAACGATGTTACTACAAATAAATATGATCCATTGGATTGAAAAAAGAACGGTCTATATATTAATTCTACTATGAATAGAGGATATCATAAAACACCTCTAAATTGTAACAGGACTCAAGCTTAACTTCCAAATTACAACCCCTATTTTTAATATAGAGTAAATTGCATTGGTGGTACATAAACTTGTTATGTGGGCGCAATTTAGTACATAAACTTGTAAAATGCTCGTTTCAGTACAGTACAAACTTGTCTAGTTCGTGCGAATGAGGACCAAAATAACTTAGTACAAACTTGTCTAGTTCGTGCGAATGAGGACCAAAATAACTTGGCAATATTAATTTATGAAGTTGATGTTGATTAGGATGTAACGTGCATACATGTAGTGAGTATGCATAAGACATGTAATATTTATAAATTTCGTCTTAACTTCATCATTTGTATATATATTTTCACTATTCGTCTTATTTATTACTTTTGAAAATATATAAGTTATACTTAAAGTATCTTTGGTGAATAAAACAAATAATATGTTGATTAGGTAACTTTTTTGAATAAGGCAAACATTTATGTAAGTCAATGACATTACGTATAAAAAATTAAGCGAGTACTCCCTCCGTCCCATAATATAAGAACCTAGGACCGGATGGGACATTTCCTAGTACTACGAATTTGGACAAACGGCCTAGGTTCTTATATTATGGGACGGAGGGAGTAGTATATAAGAACCTTGATCTGAATCAAAACCAAATCAATCAATACATGTTATATAGTTTTTTCCCGCACATCGTGTAGAGACAACATATGAGACCAATGAAAAGGGGTTGTCTGACTTTAACTATTATGCAGTTGAACCACCGACATGTGGATCATGGGGTCATGGTAAAGTGAGATTCACGTGTCAATAAGTTAATTGTATTTGTAGTCAAGTTAGAGGATCTGCTTTTGTGACCTATGCATGAGGTACAATGAGGGTGTCTGTTACGCTAAGTTTCGCGGACGTTTCTCTTTTACACCGTGCACTTGCCGCTTATCAGATCAGCGGCGTACTAAAAACAAATAACACATTTTTTTAAACGTGCAAAAGGAATGCACGTCAATATATTAGAAGGAAAAGAGTAAAAAAAAAAACATATCGCTACTCTCTCTCTCTTCCATGTCAATGAAAATCCAACGTGAATAGATTTTACTTTATACGGCTGATGATATATAGAACCCATACTTGCAGCTTAATATATATCCATTGTACATCCCCTAATAAATTAAAGCAGATTAAAATCGACCTCCCTGTCTGTCGTATACGCATGTGTTTGTCGATCCGGGTCGAGAATTACGGCGGCGGCAATGGGAGTGACACTGACGAGACTGGTAGCCAAATCAGATGTACACACTGCATAGATTGCGATCGATATGGCATATCATCATTTGGATGGATCGATCAAGCCATATCTGTTTGCGTGTGTTTGTCGACATATGCATCGGAAGAGATTCATTTGCAGCAGCAGCAGCCACCAGCCACGAGTACGGCCATATGCCTCCAATCCATGCATCGATTGATCGATCGGCATTGACGATGACACTGGGAATGATCATAATCAGGGGCCATCACAGTGATGATCTCTACATATACATATATAGATACCGTATACATATGAATCGATGTCCATTTGTATATGCTGACCTTTTAGAAGACACGGCCATGGATCAGTCTTGATCAGCCTAATTAATGACGATTAAGATGGGACATTGACATGTGGGTCAGCCCTGCCTGCAAACAAACAGATATGACATACTGGATTTTTATTTAGTAATAGCTAGAGATTTTTTCTCCGATCCTTGAGCTGAATTAATGAAAATGTAGCTACCTACTACTTTTATATATGTTGGGCTTGCAAGTCATGTTCATATATAATCACGATGAGATGAACATGACAGGTTATGAGCAGTGTTCCCCGGCACTTGTGGACTCATCCGACACCTTGCTATACTGTTGTCATCATGTTTGTATAAACCATTGAATTAAATTATTACAGGGAAATTAATTGTCAACTCAATACACAAATGTGTGTATAGATCGATTATTGTCATCAGTATATGTATATATGAGAACAGCTAAGGTAGCTAGTTAGGTCGCCCTTGTTTGTTTGCATATTAGTAGCAAACATATATAAGCATGCAAGCGCACGCTTGTCTGAAATATGCATGATTGCCTGAGCTCTTCTGGGTAGTAGTTGGTGTGTGAATTATATGCATTATTGTCGTTTCCGCACATAAATGATACTATACGCAAAATTGACATGCAGCTAGGTGACTTCTATGAAAGAACGGATCGAGCTTGGCAGGTCGTACAGGTTGTAACATCTATAATACATCGATCGATCGATCAGAACAGGGCCGGCGATATCTAGCTAGAGTTAGCTAGCTCATTGCTGTACGCAGTAGGGCTGGATGAATATAATTGATCGATCGATCGATCAATCTCCTGTTACAACTGCATGGATCGATATGCATGTACGTCAATTCGCTGTCTCCCTTGTACTCTGCGTACTTAGCTAGTAGACGCAGCAGCAACAATGACTCTCTCTCTCTGCAACTGCATCTGCATATGGAGATCCCCGGCTAGCTAATGGATCGATCGAGGAAGATGACAAATCAGAGTACAGATCGATCATGTCGTTGCTCGCTCGAGGCAATAGCTAGCTAGATAGATCACGCTACCTGCATACATGTCCTGATGTATTCCAAGTACACTACATCTACACATGGACATGCTGCCTGCTGCATCATATCGTCTGAATGACTTGCTGTACTTCTCCTGTACGTACTTGTGGGTATACGGATCACGTACACATGCGTACGTGTCTCATCCCCGGACGACAGTGCCAGCAGCAGCTCACCCCTGTCGCTCCGCCGCCAGCCACGCTTGCCCCCCGCCCACCGCCGGCTTGCCGCCATGCCCATGCCTACCTGCTGCTGTGCCTTCTTCCTATTGAATCTATCTCGCTTTCGATCCTCTCTAAGCTAGCTGATGGCCCAATAAACTCTGAGCAGATTGATGGCCCAACAGTTTCATGGGCTGAGCTGAAAGGCCTGCGAATTATAGCTGGGCCTCGATGTTTGGGGAATTGGGCCTCCAATGAAGTTAAGGGGCACTTCCGTAATTCCCCCCACTGCCGCATCTGGAGTTCTGGACTCCTCGGTGGATCCGCCCGGCCCCGCTGGCGGCGGAGAGTACAACGTGTACATTTTGCCCCTTATGTTACTCCATATTTCTGGTCAAGTGTACTCACCTGATCCTCCTTTGAAATTTTGAGATCTTCTTACCAACCAAATTTCATCTGTACTTTGTTCATATTTTTCAAATGAATTGCACTTTTGATTAATTTTGAAGCATATCCCCAGTTATTAATTCCGCATTCCAGTTGACCAGTTGTAGTGTTTTATGGCTAGAAAAAGTTGGTCAAAAAGGGCTTGAAGTAAATAAGAGGAGAACTGGGGGGGAGTTTTTATTCATAAAAGCCCCTCCAACTTTCTCGTCTGCCACCAACCCACTTCCTATTTGTCGCCGTCGCGGCGCGTCCCAAACTCCAAACACGCCGCAAAGCGAAGAAGCGATCGCACGTTCGCACGCAGACGCAGCCGCGGCGGATCAATGGCGATGCTGACGGCCAAGCTCACCTCCCCCCCCGCCGCCACCACCTGGCTCCCCGGCGGCGGCCGCCGATCCGCGCCGCCCCGCCGTGCTACGGTGATCCGCGCCGCCGCCGTCTCCTACGCCGACGAGCTCGTCTCCACCGCGGTGAGCCCCCACCAAACCCTACCACATCTCCCTCGTTTTCATCGTACTTGTTGCTCTAGGAGCCGGTCGCCTTTGAAAGGATCTATGCTTTGGAGGTTGCTCGTGTCGCATGTGCCGATCTATGATGGCGCCGTCCGTGTGTGTGTTGGTATCTAGCGATTTGTGGTGGGGACTTTTCAGTAGGGTTGGGGGGGGGGGGTGTGTTGGCGAAAATAATCGAGACTAGTATATTGGATTATCTGAATGAATTCAAGTATCTGTTAAATCTACAAGTACATACAAGGTGATTTGGTGAAATAGCAACAAAGTGCAGATATTTTGGACAGTTTATAATCCTGACAATAGTTTTACTTGAATAAAAGCTTCTGCGCTCGTTTGAGATTTTTTTTTTGATGCAGAATTAAAATTGGAATAATGAACTAGGAGTATGTAAGGTCTGAAGCTGTGATTTCCAGTATAATCCTTGCTACTTGTTCCATCCCAAATCAGGTCGTGCTAAATCTGGTCAATCGAATCGAGTCAACTCTACTGATACTGGTTTCATGTAGATACACTGGTGGCATTTGTCTAAATTGTTGGCTGTTATCATACTATGTGCTGATTATGCGATTTGTTGAGTGGTAAATCTTGTTTTCACAATGCTTCTGTCTTGTTTACTGATCCTGGTAATCTTGTGGTTCTAGTGGATAATGATGTGAATAGTGGGCTGTATTGATGCTGAATAGTGGGCTGTATTGATGCTGTCTGGTTAACTTTTGATTCAGTCATGGATTCGTTCGGTATAAAATGATCCTGGATGATTGTTTTTGGGTCGGCATTTTAGATGTATGTTAGCTGACTGCTTGAGTTTTTGGATAAAATTAACCTGCTAGGAAGGGCTGAAGTATAGAGCAGAAAATTAGTGTTGCTCTGGACACAAATTTTCAAACTGCAAGGGTCACTGAAATAGTTCAGCAAGTCATGGTCTATACAATTTCTTTGTTATGTAATTTGGCTAAATGTTTGAGCTTATGTCTCTCTGATTTGAGTGACTTGGGGTTTTTTTCAACCTCGGGTCCTAAGCCATTCCTATTTTCTCACTACTTGCTTCTTGACAGCAATGATTTTTTTTCCTGTTGATTCATTGCTGCTAAACTAATGTTTCTAACTTTCCATCTGTGCAGAAATCTGTTGCTTCCCCAGGGCGTGGTATCCTGGCAATTGATGAGTCGAATGCCACATGCGGAAAGAGATTAGCATCCATTGGTTTGGACAACACAGAAGTTAACCGCCAGGCTTACAGGCAGCTTTTACTGACCACTGCTGGTCTTGGTGAATATATTTCTGGTGCTATCCTTTTTGAGGAAACTCTTTATCAGTCAACCACTGATGGTAAGAAGTTTGTTGACTGCTTGAAGGATCAGAATATCATGCCCGGTATCAAGGTCGACAAGGTATGCATGCCATGATATGATGATCGTCATATTGTTTTCATCAAGACAGTTTCAGCATTGGTTCTTACTACTTCATGGTTTTTGTTGTCTAAAATAGGGCTTGGTTCCATTGCCTGGGTCCAACAATGAATCTTGGTGCCAAGGCCTAGATGGTTTGGCTTCAAGGTGTGCTGAGTACTACAAGCAGGGGGCACGCTTCGCTAAGTGGTTAGTTCATACTCATTGTGACTCTGTCTAATTTATTGGCATATATCTTTTCTAAACTTTCTGTGGTATGTTGTTCTTCTCCAGGCGGACTGTTGTTAGCATCCCTTGTGGTCCCTCAGCATTAGCAGTCAAGGAAGCGGCATGGGGACTTGCTCGATATGCTGCCATTGCTCAGGTAAAAATGTCACTATCAACTACATTGCTTTAGTTTGATAGTGTGCTTAAGAGCCTTGATGAACAACCTTTTTTTTATGGTCTTATTTTGATGTTTCAAAACGCTTTTGACAATAGTAATAACCTGTACTATCATAATTGTTGAACACTTGTACTGTTCTTGAAACCATATACATCAATTATGCACAGTGACTGCACATGGAAACACATATAACAATGGTAAGAATTAAGTTAAACTCATGTAGAAAGCTGGAGGAAAGAGCTTGTGCCTTTGTCCAATCAATGCAGTTCTCTACACTATCTTTTTTTAGTGTTGACACCATCTAAAATGTTTCGAAATCGAGTAATAGTGATGCAATATACACCACATCATGTAATTTCAACACAATTTGTGTCAACTAACATGCATATATGCTCTAGTGCTTTCTATTCCTCGCAAGTCACAAGAAGTTTTCTATTTGTTCACCATGTTTTAAACTTTTAACTGGAATGACCTGCAGGACAATGGCTTAGTGCCAATTGTTGAGCCAGAGATCCTTCTTGATGGTGACCATGCGATCGAGAGAACTCTTGAAGTGGCAGAGAAAGTGTGGTCTGAGGTATTCTTCTACCTGGCCCAAAACAATGTTCTTTTTGAGGGTATCCTGCTGAAACCCAGCATGGTGACCCCTGGAGCTGAACACAAGCAGAAGGCCACTCCAGAAGCCATTGCGAAGCACACCCTTACAATGCTGAGGAGGAGAGTGCCGCCTGCTGTCCCTGGAATCATGGTATTTTCTTAGCTCTTGATTCTCATAGTAATTTTATCTTCTATACCATCTCCATTCGAAACCAACTGGACAGAGTTCTGTAACTTTGTTCGTTTTGTTTTCTCCAGTTCCTTTCTGGTGGGCAATCTGAGGTGGAGGCAACCCTGAACCTGAACGCGATGAACCAAGAACCAAACCCATGGCATGTGTCCTTCTCATACGCCCGGGCTCTCCAGAACTCGGTGCTGAAGACATGGCAGGGGCGCCCCGAGAACGTGGAGGCAGCGCAGAAGGCACTGCTGGTCCGTGCCAAGGCGAACTCGCTGGCTCAGCTCGGTCGCTACACCGGCGAGGGCGAGAGCGATGAGGCCAAGAAGGGAATGTTCCAGAAGGGCTACACTTACTGATGCGGCAGAAGAGACTTCCGTGATATACAACATGCCATTTCGTGTCACTGTTTTTTGAACACCGGAGTGAATAATCACCAGAGTATGTTTGGTGCCACCGATTGTTGTTAGCTTCGTTAGCACGGGAGAAACCTTAGAGAGCTGTATCTGACTCTGAAACACACTATTTTGATAGCACGCTTTTACTGTAAGCATATGCCTTTCGGCCATGAGACTGTGAGAGAGATGTTTCATTTGTGTTGGGGTAAACTGGCAGCATTCTGAAATGAGAAAATCTGATTCACTGTTTCATGGGCTAACTAGCCACGGGCGGGCTATTGTTTTTGGGCTTCCGGCCCAACTCTATAAAGTAAAGGGGGAAAAAGCACAGAAATCTCGCGTATCCTCGTGGGCCCCACCTGCTCATCCTATCAGGGCTTGCCAAGTCACGACCATTTAGGGCCCAAAGCAGCCGTCCATACCGACGTTGCAAAAGAGGCCACGTGGGCCCACGTCGCCCTCGTCTCGATACACCAAGGGGGGCCAGGGCTCGCGCGCGCGAGTGGGCCCGCGCTGCAGCGAAACGTCGAATAGAGCAGCCCACATGTCAGTGACCCAAAACTTCCCACTGCTTAGGACTGCCCTTTCCTTTTCTCACCGACATCCGCACCCGCACCCCGCACCCGCACCCCACCTCACCCATCCATTCCTTGATTCTCCTCTCTCTCTCTCTCTTTCCCCTTCACAGCCGCCACGCTCTCCGCCCCGACCCCCCAACCCCGCGCCGCCGCCTCTCGCCGGAATCGGAGCTTTCCGCCCTAAACCCTCCTCAAACCCCGGCGGTCCAGATCCCTCCCGAACCCTCGAGCCGTCCTCCCGCCGCCGCCGCCGCCGCTCCAGAAGCAGAGGGAGCGGAGGCGCTGCATGAGATATCTGGCCCTGCTGCCGCGGCGGCGCGGTTGGTGATGCTCCTGGCCTCCTGCCTCCGGGGTCGCCTCCGCCTCCACCGCCGGCCTCGCCCGCTGATCATGCCCTCCCCGCTCTTCCTCTCCCGGAACCCTAATCCTTCTCCCCCACGCAGCGCCACTGCCACTGGCACCACCATCCTCTCCCCGCCCTCCACCTCCGCCTCCGCCTCCATGAGCACGAGCGGGGTCTACGTCCCGCCGATGCGGCGCCTCCGCTCCGTCATCGCGTCCACCAACGGCAGCCTCGCTCCGCCGCCGTCCGCGGCCGCGCAGGCTCAGCCGGTGCGCGCGCCCGAGTGGCGGGCGGACGGGCGCTCGCTCAGCCCCCCGCCGTCCCCGCCTCGACCGCCCCGGCGCGCGACGCCTCCCCCTCCACGGCAGCCTCCTCCTCAGCCAGAGCCTTTCCGGCAGCGGAGCGCCGGGTACGCCCGGTACGCCTACGACGATTTCTCTGAGGATGACTCGGATCGGGAGATGGACCGCACCTCCGTCTCGAGTAGGGTGAGTGCGTTGATCCAACTTATTCTGCTGTAGTAAGTATGACTCACGTAGTAATATGGATTATGGAATAGGATAATTAGTACTCGGTTAAACTAAACTGCGCAACTCAAAATACTTTTCACCCAAATTTGGGTGCCTATGCAGTAGAGATGCGATTAGCGATCGATAGTAAGGGTGCTTGCCATTAGCTGTTATCTCTGCAAACGCCGTTGCCAACAGAAACGACAACTGAGAGGTTGGCCATTTGCCGTCGTTTTTGTACACCAGCTTGCCACATTAACTTGTGTTTATGTGTCTTGCAGTCTTACTAGTTGCTTATTAAAGGTATTACTGGTTTAACCATATATCAATATATATTACTGTATTACACTTACCGTGCACTCTGAGCTCCACATTGAAGTGCCCTTTTAGATGTTCTTTTATGTTGGGGATAGGTCTCAAGTTTGATTAAGCTGTTTATCATAAATTGTCATGAGATATTTGCCAAAATTAGGAAAACAGAAAGGATGTTTCCCCAAGATAAGAGGCTGTTTATTTTCCTGTGTTTTCAGTGGAACTTGACAAAATATTGCAACTAGCCAACTACAAATAGCCCATGTATTATGGATCTTTAGAGTCAAGATTGCTTTCTTCTCCATTTCTTTGTGTGTTAAAATGTTTGGTACTGAGCTTCTATGGATGAATCAAGCATTACAGTTGCATTTAAATAATATTTCCAGGGTGGATCCACTTTAGATAATATTGATGAATGGAAATGGAAACTGCACATGCTTCTTCGTAACGAAGATGAGCAAGAGGTTATCTCTAGGGAAAGAAAGGACAGACGTGATTTTGAACAACTTTCCCAACTGGCCGAACGAATGGGTTTGTACAGGTACTTCGTTGCCCCCTCTGATATCCTAACACCACATATGCTTTACCACCTATCTGATGATAACTCTATGTTATTGCAGCCGTCAGTATTCTAGGATTGTTGTGTTTAGTAAGGTTCCATTGCCTAATTATAGATCAGACCTTGATGACAAAAGACCACAAAGAGAGGTATGTTGATTGTACCTCAGAGAGACCTCAAGTGTTTTAGCGTGCTACGTGCATGCACTGCTCATTAATGTTCGCTAAATTATTCGTTTCGTACTTACTACAGGTGTCTATTCCTTCTGGATTGCAAAGAGAAGTTGATGCTTTGCTTTCAGATTATCTTGCACGGAAGAGAACAAGCAGTGGGAGCTTTCCTAATGCCGCTTTCTCAAGGTCAAGTAGCACAGACAGTTTTGCAACTGACGAAAGCTTCTTGGAGCAGCAAGATAATCAGACTTCAACCAGTGCTGTGATAGAGAGAATACAAAGAAGAAAAAGCCTACAGTTGCGTAATCAACAGGAATCATGGCAGGTTTGATTATATGCAGTATACCACTTGCAGATTTTTTTATTAGTTTTTTTCCAATTGTATTAGAAATTTCCAATCATGATGCTTACTCTGTGAGGATCTATCCATTTGAAGTGAAAACTTATGGCTAATTATAAAGTTCAGAAAGTGGATCACAACATACTTGCAAACAACTGTGTATCTGTTCTGTAGTAATCGATTGGTTGCATTGCAAGTTAGTGGTTGCTCCCTCCTTTCATATTATATGTTGCAGTTCATGCTTTGCAGTCAGATGCACCCTCGACCCCTTCTTTCATAATGTTTGGGGATATTTCAATATATCATTAACATACTAAATTATACTCTTGATAACTGATAACAGATCAGCTATGTTATTTCCATATGCCCACGCCTGAACCTAAGTAATGTTGTATGCATCAGTTATTTGAATTTCTGGATAGAGGGATTATTTTTCTTTGTGCAATTCTGCATTATTAACCATGTCATGCTGTAGTCAAATTTGCTTTAGAATGTTTTATTCGATACACATTTCCCCCTTGCTTTTGTTATATATCGATTCCAGTGGATGCAGTGACCAGTGTAGATTAGTGCCTTGTATTGTTAAAGGCATAAAGCTTCTCTCTTTTTCAGGAATCACATGATGGCCAAAGCATGATGGAATTTCGTCGCAGTCTTCCTGCTTATAAAGAAAGGCAAACATTATTGGAAGCTATAGCTCAGAATCAGGTCCTGCTCTTGTTTTAGATTTGTGTTTGTAGTTGACTATTAGATACTTCCTTTGTTCTCAAATGCTTAACTCTTTTGAAAAAAAAGTGTCTATTTAGTAAGTACTTGTCATTTTCTTCCCTTCTACTCCCAAAATAAGAAGAAAAGACTATCCCTATGGCCCTATTGACTCTGCTTATGGACCTGCTTTTACTACTTTATTTATGTTCTTCTAATAAATTAAATTGTACTTTGGTCACATTCTGTCTGAATTGATTTGCTTGGTTGTGAATACTGCCTAGCATTTGAGAATGGAGGGATTGCTAGATTTACAATCAGGTTTGCACCTTGGTCAATGATGGACTTTTAAAACCCAACTATTTTGTTCGTGAAAGTAAATAGGAAGTTATTCATGTATGTGAACGAGTGTTTAAATAAGTGATCACTAACCAGACCAGGAATTTTACTGCTTCAACACCAATTAATATGCTTATAAATGTAAAAAGGATCAGATATCAACTAGTCAGTGACATCTATCTTTTCATCGATGTGTCTATTGCCCCAGGGCTCAAATATCATCCTCGCATTGAATGGTATTTTTCCAATTAAAATCTCTTTGCAAACTGCAATCATACTGAGCTAATATTCTCATGTAAAGGGCAACATCTTCTACTTAATATCCAAATTGAATGGCTGTTGAAGTTCTGTATGTTGGAAAGCCAATGTATCATATTATTATTTTTTTACTTGAGAGAGCAATTTTGACAAATATATCTTGATATGTTAGTACATAGGCAAAATCTTTTGAGTAGTTCTACTGAGATAAGAGCATTGACATATGTTCTTTTTGATGAACAGGTTGTTGTAGTTTCAGGTGAAACAGGATGTGGTAAGACAACACAGCTACCTCAGTACATTTTAGAGTCTGAAATAGATGCTGCTCGTGGTGCCACTTGCAGTATTATTTGTACTCAACCAAGACGAATATCAGCCATAGCTGTTTCTGAAAGAGTTGCTGCTGAAAGAGGGGAAAAAATTGGTGAATCGGTGAGCTACTGCCTACTTGTAGAGTTGTACTGATGGAGTGACTTTTTTTTCATGCTGGGACTACTGCTTATGGTTGCCATTAGGGAATCCGTACAACATGTGCATTATCCAAAAGCTATCTTTAATCTATTGGTTAATTATTGGCCATCAGTTCAATTCTGCAGTTGGATCAGCTATACTATTGGGATAATATGCTTTCTTATACCTGACTGCATTTTTTTCCCTTCATTCTTTCATTTTGGCGATCTGACGAGAGGATTGGCCTCAGCTTAATGTTTCTTGCAGAATTTTGTGATTTTATTATTCTTATTATCTCAGCCCTAATTAAGGAGTCTTAATTTTAGGTTGGCTACAAAGTTCGGTTGGAAGGAATGAAAGGACGGGACACACGCCTTCTTTTCTGTACTACTGGAGTTCTGTTGCGGAGATTGCTGGTGGATAGAAATTTGAAAGGTGTTACCCATGTTATTGTTGATGAAATCCATGAGCGTGGCATGAATGAAGGTCTGCAATCGTCATAAAATAAATAAATCTGCATTCAAAAAGTTATAGCTAGACACTCAGGTAGACGATTTCATGCTGAATATTTTTGTATTTTTGTGCTAGATTTTCTTCTTATTGTCCTGAAGGACCTTCTTCCACGCCGGCCTGAGCTAAGACTT